CCGATAGAGGAAGGAGCACTCTGGTGGGAAACCAGATTAGCCCTCTGCTAGTGACTGTTGCCCATTTAAAGAAACAGGAGCCAGATCCGGAAGAAAGTCTCCAGATTGCTGGGTGGAGAGGAGTTCATCTAGGGTCTAGGGTAGTACCACTGAAGGTGCTCGCTAGCACTCCAACAGAGACTGTGACAGAGAAAAGAAGCTGTGAATGGTTCAGGAAGTTGTCCTCAGATTTTGGTTCCCTTCGGCATCTTATACACCTCTTACCCTATTCAAGTTCTAATCCCCTCAATAAAATAACAAAGCAAACGCTCAAGGACTAATTTCTGTCTATGGATGACAGCTTGTGTGGGAAATGCTAAATGACCGGCTGTGCAGGACTATAGGGGGACTCAAATTCATCAGCAATCCCTAAGGGGAACATAAGCTTCAGTGGTGTTTCTATTTTTCAAAAAAAAGGTAGATTGCATTTCTTAAAAATTAGGGGCCCCCAATTTGATCAGGGTCCTCAGCATAATAATAAAAATAGGTACACACCCCTTATTGCCTTCTTATGAAGAGGGTCTCACTCTTGCTTACAGAACTTAGACTACAGTCTGACCTATGAAACAAGGACTCCTATAAAGAACCCCTGTATTGCATGGCTGCACCTCAAATTACAGCTGTACCAGCAGATGTCACTGCTAGCCTAACAAGTTTGTTCCAATATTTCCGTTGATAAAGTGCTACATCCAATGGCAACTTAAAAGATTAGTCCATCTTTCAGACCACAGTTCATGTTACACCCATATTTAGGGTGTAACATGAAACACGGTCACAGTCTATGCCCCCCTCCCACCACCACAAAACTGTCCCCTTCTTTCAGAATCTGAGGGTTCTTCTCCAGGTTCCTGTCAATTTTTGGATTTGGCTTGGCTGTGCATGGCTCCACCCACATAATTCACAAATTCCAATGTGGCTAACAACTACAAGTCCCATCTTTCACCACAGCAGACGGACTTGCAGTTCTCAATGGAGCACAAGTTTGATGACGTCACTGCACTTGTAGTCCATCAATACCTCCTCCAGCCCGTAACTGAAAGACTGTACCTCTGGTGGTCACAAAGCTTTTCAGCTGCCAATGCAAAAAATAATTAATGACTGTTTTTATTAATCAGTATGGGTGCATTTATAATTTTTTTGCAAAAGGTGGAATTGGCTGTTAAGCATAGGAATCCCATGTGTAAGTTATTATAATTAATTTGTGCCTAAATAAAAATTATTTGCACTAGTTTGGAAGCCCCCACTTTTCTGCACAGGGATTCTAAATGAGGAATCTGGGTGCAAAATATGGAAGCTAGCAAAGATTTGGACTATTATAACATTTTAAAAACAAATTACTAAAAATGGTAGGGAAGGGTAGTATTTATTTGGAATAAAGTCTATATTAAATCTCTAGCACTGCTTAGCTAGTTCACTAGGGAAGATGGTAAAAGTGTACCCAAGCACATCAAGGGAAATAAGCTGCACATAAACCACAATTCTCTTGAGCACAAAGATGTGCAAAATCCCATCACACTGCTTTCTGGAAAGAGGGGCACTTACCGGTACATATGCTCAGTGTGGTGGACCGAAAAAAGGTCAGATTTGCAAACCTGAAATCGGATAATGCTGGTTGCAGGAACAAATTGGGTGAACTGCATCTCTGTATTGGATTTTAATTAGATGTCAGGAATAAAAAAAAAAAAATAAGTGTTTCAAGTATATTTTTTTTAACAGCAAAGAATGCAGCAGATCTAGCTAGTAAGAGCTACTCTAGGTTTCCATTGTAAGGTAACTAGGAGAGATCCATTACAAAGGAAATCTGCTTTGTCTATCAAATCCTCTGGGCCTTGTGTGTTGCATTATACCATCTAAACACTCAGCAGTAGTTTTGTTAAATTGCTTTCAAATAGCACTGTTAATGTATACAGAGCATGGCAGAAGCTGAATGGAATACATCCCCAAATAAATTCCAGCCTTTACCCTTAAAGTGATTGTAAAAGTATTTTACAGGCTGTGATTCACAGAAGCAGGAGCCAATGAGTGAAGAGAGAGAGAGAGCTAAGAGTGCTGCTGCTTTCCAGCACATTGCTGGATCGAAATCAGGCTCAGGTAAGTATAAGGGAGACTGAGTGGAGATGAACACAGGATTTTTCAGGATTTTTACCTAAATGCATCTTGGGAGCTCAGACTCCATCTTAGAAACTGGGAGAGAAGGAGTTAGCTATCAGAGCACATGTTCGACTAAAATTTGCATATCGTTGCATCCCCTACAGGCAGCATCGCTGTTTCACCCAACCTGTTTTGTTAATAAAACAGCAAAGCACGGAATAAAAGTCAGCTCATCTCCTAGTAAAAGCAACACACGGGGCATACACTTAACCCTTTGATCCCCCCCAGATGTTAACCCCTTCCCAACCAGTGTCATTAGTACAATGTCAGTGTAAATTATTAGCACTGATCGCTGTATTAGGGTCACTGGTTCCCACAAAGTGTCACTGTCAGATTGACCACTGTACTATTACAGTCCTGCTGCAAGTCGCTGATTGCTACCATACTAGTATACAAAATGAAAGTGTTACTAAACCCACAGCAGTAAAATCAGTCTGTATATGCAGTAAAGCATGCTTGTTATATTCACTGTGGAACCTAAGGGGTTAATCCTCTGCATTGTTTAAAAATGCTGTTTGATTCTGATATCTCTCATGCCCACTTCTTCTAGTGTCCACCTCTTATCTCCTGATAAGACATATCATGCGGAGACACTGTGCACATGCTCAGTCTAGTGCTAGGGAAATTTGTTTTCTCTTGGGAGAGTGCATGGGATCAGCAAAGGGCCAATCAGCACTGTCCGGACAGAGGTCAGGGATTTTGCATCCTCCCAGAGCGGAAAGAAAACTCCTCCTACAAGCTTTAACCAGTGCTCTGCTGGACACTGTCACATCACTGCTCTAACTGCTGATGCAAAAAGATATTTAGAAGTTTATACTTAAAATAATTATAGCTCCATGTAGTGTGTACTGTTGGAGACCAGATAGAGTAAATGTAGGGTCCTGGGTTTAGTAACACTTTAAATAAAAATTCCAGTATATCCCATAGTTTGTAGACACTATAACTTTTTCGTGAAACGAATCAATATCCACTTATTGGGATTTTTTACCAAAAATATATAACAATACATTTTGGCCTAAATTTATGAAGAAATTTGATTTTTACATTTATTTTATTGGATATGGTTTATAGCAGAAAGTAATAAAAATATATAATTTTTTTTTCAAAATTGTCTTTTTTAGATTATAGCGCAAAAATATAAAAACCCCAGTGCGATCAAATATCACCAAAAGAAAGCTCTATTTATATGAAAAAAATTATATAATTTTTTTGGAGTACAGTGTTGCATGATCATGCAATTGTCAGTTAAAGTAACAGTGCTGTATAGCAAAAAATGGCCTGGTCAGGAAGGAGGTAAAATCTTACGGAGGGCAACATGGACACATGTAAAAACAAATGAGGTATATAAAAAAATAATTAGCTCTGGCTGCAATATTAACCATTTCTGCAATGCTGTCCACCATGGACTTGCAGCTCCCCAATCTAACACTGGTCTTTCTATGAGCTAAATAACTAACATAACACAGCCCCATAAGCCCAGGCTGTCCTGAACATGCTACCTATGGGATGTCATTACACCAGCATGGGATAGCAGTATTCCTAGACACACATTATGGATGTGTGTGTGAAGGGCTATCTGGGAGTAAGAGCTTCCCACCGTTCCAGATGGAGGAGAAGTGAACCAACCAAGGGCTGGGCTTTAAATGTTTATTTGATAAGCAACGATTTTATATATCACTAAAAAAATATATAAAATGTCAGTTTAACCACTTGCCCTCCAGAGGATTTACCCCCTTTCTTGACCAAACCATTTTTTGCGATACGGCTCTGCGTTACTTTAACTGACAATTGCGCGGACATGCAACACTGTACTTTAATGAAATTTATGTCATATTTTTCCCCACAAATAGAGCTTTCTTTTGGTGGTATCTGATCACCTGTGTTTTTTTATTTTTTGCAATATAAACAAAAAAAGAGACTGACAATTTTGAAAACAAAAAAATAAATAAATAAATATATATACTGTGTATAAATATATATATATATATATATATATATATACACACATATATATATATATAATATATATATATATATATATATATATATATATACACACACATACATATATACAGTACATACACACACACACACACACACACACACACACATATATACATACACACACACGCACACATATTTTTTTTTTTACTTTTTGCTACAAAACATATCCAATAAAAATGTTTTAAAAATACTATTTCTTCCGAAGTTTAGGCCAAAATGTATTCTGCTACATGTCTTTGCTAAAAAAAAAATCCCAATACGTGTAAATTAATTGGTTTACATGAAAGTTATAGCATTTACAAATGGAAGTATATATACTGGAATTTTTTATTTTATTTATGTACCGTATTTTCCGGCGTATAAGACTGGGTGTATAAGACTTACCCCTAATTTTCCAGTTAAAACATAGGTTTTGGGCTATACTCGTATAAGACTACCCCCCTTCTGAGGCAACACCATTTAACCCCTAGCCTACAGGGCACTTATACTCACTTCCCCCACTGGCCAATTTTCAGCTTTCAGCGCTGTCGCACTTTGAATGACAATTGCGCGGTCATGCAACTCTGTACCCATATGAAATAGGTGGCACTGATGAGGAGGCACTGGTAGGTGGCACTGATGGGCATTGACAGGCATCACTGATGGGCACTGAAAGGCAGCACTGATACATGGCACTGATATATGGCACTGATAGGTGGCACTGATAGGCCGCACTGATAGGCATCACTGATGCGCACTGATAGATGGCACTGACTTGCACTGATAGGCGGCACTGATGCGCACTGATAGGCAGCACTGATGCGCACTGATAGGCGGCACTGATGGGCATTAACAGGCATCACTGATGGGCACTGAAAGGCAGCACTGACACATGGCACTGATAGGCGGCACTGATGCGCACTATTAGGTGGCACTGATTGGCAGCACTGATAGGTGGCACTGATGGGTGGCACTGAAAGGCAGCTCAGATGGGCACTGATATGTGGCATTGATGTGCACTGGTAGGCACTGATATGTGGCATTGATGTGGCATGATGGACACTGATAGCTGGCACTGCTGGGGCTACACTGATCATCAGGGCACACTGATCATCAGTGCCCTGATGATCAGTGTACATGTCCCCTCCGCGGAAAGCCGATTACCGGCTCTCCTCTTGAGCTGTCAGCGTGACAGCTCGAGAGCAGAGAAATGCCGATAACCAGCATTTCCCTGTTTACATGTGATCAGCTGTGATTGGACACAGCTGATCACATGACCGAGCCGACATCTTTGGCTCTTTCCGTGATCCGCTGTGTCCGAGGGACACAGCGCATCGCCACGCATGCGCGGAAAATGGGAAGACGTCATATGAGCCAATCATGACAAGTAATGTATTCTATTAATGAATACAGAGCCTGCTCGGATTGGCTGCGTCAGAGAGGCGGGCTAATGATGTCACAACTTCAGCCAATCCGAGCAGGCTCTGTATTCATTATTAGAATACATCGCTTGCCGTGATTGGCTCAGCGCGGTACACTGTATGTAGCTGAAACTACTGTACAGTATTACCGCACATCCAGCGGTTCTATACCCGGCGTATAAGACGACCCCAATTGTTGGGGTATGTTTTTAAGTATAAAAAGTCATTGTATACGCCGCAAAATACGATATTTATGTTTACACACAGGTCTCTCCCCTGTCAGCTTTCCCCAACAGCCGAGTGGTGGCCGGCAATCGCCGGTTGGGACCCAGTTACTGACGTCGTTACCCACCAATAGCAGCACCGGTAGGGCGGCGTGTGCGCCCTCTACCCGGAAATGCTAATCACGTATATGTATATATATATATATATATATATATATATATATATATATATATATATATATAAACACACATACATACATACATACACACATATACACTGTACATATATATACACACACACGTGATTTTGCGCAGCCCTGTCGCTCTGTAGCAGTACTTCTGCTATAGAGCGGAGGGCTTGATACCATAAGTGACAGAAATAAAAAAAATAAAATGGATGCAAAAGCATTATAGTTTCTCTTTAGTGACTTCAAAGAAGCTACTTGAAACTAGGTGAAACCTTTGTAAATGCACGCTATTTTTCAGAAGGAAAAGGTGAAACTTATATAAATCACATCAAACATATTTGCAGGCTGTAAACGGAGCAATTTCTGAGTATTCATTTTTGTATTCTAGAACACGTAAATTTTCTTTTCATAAATAATATGTCTGCATGCTTTTTACTATATTGTGGGAGCAAATAATTAGCAAAATTGCATATTTTTAGCAAGGTGAAGAAATTGCCTGGCTCTCAGCCTTCATGAGTTTTATGAATGCCCTCCTTGAATTTAATGTGTATGTGAATACATTTCTAGACCAATTTAAAAAAATAAATAAGTATGGGAGGCCAGTTATTATCCGTCAAGGCTGATATTAATGGTGCCTCGCTCAGAAAGAACCTTTTACAGATTCCAAACATGAAAGTACATATTAAATACAGTTCCGAAGATAATTATTTACATTGAAATGCAGTGTAATTGTTCTAGCAGTTTTATACCTCATTATCTTAATGTGAAGGCAGATGCTGGCTTCCAAGCCTCGATAATCCTTCTAAATGTTCACACAGAAACATTCTTTTCATGCATTACCCTAGTTCATTTCTGTTACTTAGTGCCTTTTGTTTTTAACCCCTTTGTAGATGAAGATGGACCTCTTTGGTAGACCCGTTTTTTTTTCCTACTCATACCAGGTGTGTTTCATCCATTAAATGGCATTTTCCAGCACAACCAAAAAAAAATGAATTTGTGTAAATTAATAATTTTCATTGCACCCTCATACTAATGTGTTGCATTGAGGTCTGTTGTAAAAATGTCCAGCATGCTGCATTTTGGTGCTTTGGCCTTTTTAAGACATGATATAGGAGTTGAAGAATATAATCACAGCACTCACATTAAAAATATTTAAGACATTTTTTTCTTGGGGTATGGGCAACTAACAGTGGGTGCTTGGAACATATTTTTAATACCCACCAGGCACCCCTGGATATCTGCCAATGATCTAAACTGCTTACTCTAGGATGTCACCTACCATAGCACAGAAGCAGGGGTTGGTAACACAGGTATTGTATGTTCTCCTACATTCATATGGACAAAACCCTAAAGCATCCTTCACCTCCAGACTACAAATGTTGACTTAAAGTGAATAGATTGTATTTCCCCAATATGACTTTAATGGCACAGATACAATATTTAAAAAAAACAAAACTTATATATATTTTATTCAAGATACAACATCAATTTAATTAAAACCTTAGATATGGCTTACAGTGCATAATGTCACACAAGTATAGAGCTGTCACAATACATAAAATTAATGATGCGTCTCCATTCACCCAACGCATTTCAGAGATATATGACTCTTAAAGCGGAGCTCCACCCAAAAGGGGAAGTTCTGCTTTAAGCCTTTGTCCCCCGCTCCCCATTAAGATTTGGCACCTTTGGAGAGCGGGTACCCGAATTTGACAGGTACTCGTTCCCACTTCCGCTGCGATTGCTTAGGTGATCAGAAGCAGAAGTCGTCCTCCTCCCTCCCCGTAGTTTTCTGGGACACATGACCGGTTCCGAGAAGACTACGGGGCCATTCACAAAGCGCAGCGCTTCTCGCGCATGCGCAGAGGGCACCCGGCTATGAAGCCGCAAGCGGTCACAGCCGGGTGCCCACACTAAAGATGCCGGCACCAGTGAGAGAAGAAGGTCGGTGAAACCAGCGGTGGTGAGGACACTGCTGGACCGAGGGACAGGTGAGTGGCTGTCTTTTAAAAGTCAACAGCTACAGGTTTTGTAGCTGCTGACTTTTTTTTTTTCTTCAGGTGGAACTCCATTGCCCTCTTTAACCAATTTTTTTGCTATGCCCTCTGTGTTATTTTTGACAATTGCAAAGCCATACGACTCTGTCCCTAAATGAAATGTATGGCATTTTTTCACACACAAATAAAGCTTTCTTTTGGTAATATTTGATCACCTCTGGGTTTTTTAATTTTGTGCGCTATTACTGACAAAACAGTGTAATTTTTACCTGCTAAAACACACCCTATAAATAAAAATGTAAATCTAATTTCTTCATAAATTTAGGCCAATATGTATTCGGTTACATATTTTTGGTAAAAAAATTCCAATAAGCATATATTGATTGGTTTACCAAAACGATCGCATCTACAAACTATGGTATCTATACTGGAATTTTATTTGCTTTTATACTAGTAATGGCACGTGTCATCACTGCTCATAACCTTCCTGGACGGCGACCCTGTTACTATCACTCCAGCACTATAGGCAACATTATACATCTCTGAGATTTTCTGGAATACATTGAAGCTCTATACACATTTTCCAAGTCTTCTATCCAATACGGGACTGGCATCTGTGGCCTCAGTGGCCAGAGCATGCCCCCGCCCTTCCTCTTGGAGCCAGTCTCTAGGGATTTGATCCCTCTGTGGTTGTTGGACAGGGTGGTAATGCTTGCATGTTTTTAATGTTCATGGCTTTAGGTTTAGGTCCACCACTGTTTGTTAAATTAGATGTGACATCCTCAACACCCCTGAAGAATGAATTATATATCTCTGAATGCATCGGGTGAATGGAGACATTAATTAATTTAATGTATTGCTACAGCTCTATACTAAAATGTCAGGAAGTTTGCCCAATAACAAATCATGATGTTGATTATTTAATCAATTAACATTCAACAGTGCCTCCAGCTTTTGTGGCATAAAACAAAATTAATACATATAAACACATTGACACAATTATTCCCTGAATTTATTGCTCTATTCAGAGATTTTTAAGCACAATAAAACTACACAAGGAGTATGGACTACAGAAAAAGAAATATAATTTATTTAACAATTCAGTCACTAACAATCACATGTTTCAGTAGGATTAATTGTATGACAGACATGGTCTGTCTAACTTAGTATCAAGCAACTATAAGCACAATTAAAAAGGTCTAAGAATGTATGCCTAGGAATATGATGAATTGGATCATTTACTTTACACTCACAGCTGTCACAACTACGATATAGAGTACCAATAATTTGACTAATCTAGCAGACAACCAGGTCTGTGCAGTCAGACCGTCCCCTCTTTCTTCTCCCGCAGCAGAATGAAAGAGGTTGAGGCTATGCTACTGGCTGTGTTATTACAGTTTAGATTTGATTACTTATTCCCTAGGGGGTTGTGATACTGTGAAAGGAGTAGAAGGTCACAACAAATTCTATCACACAAACATTGTAATATACAGTTAGTCAGATTCAGAAGTAAGAGGACATTTCCACAAAGTAATTATCAAATTATACTTTACCCAGAAAGCTATTGGAGCTAAATTTAGAGTGACACCCCAGGAGAGCCTTCAAGGAAATCAGTTGAGCAGGTGGTGATGATGATGATCTGTATAGGCTGTCCTTTCTTTCTAAGAGGGAGTGTAATGATCTAAGATGATGATGGTTCCAGCTGATGATAGTGATCTCTTTTCTCTCTGAATCCCCCTTTTTATTCCCAAAAATCCTCTTATCTAAGTACCAGCCTAGAAGGTGTAATCTGGAATATGTACTCACATCTGATTGGGTACTAATATTACGGATTTACTCTATCAGTGGTTTTACTTGTCCACGAGCACTGGAATCCCTATATTAGGCCTTCTGGGATTGAAATTGGATTTTATTCAATGCAATCTTATATGGTATATATGATTTTTATCCCTGGATTATTCCCAATATGTCATTTTGCTTCTACGGTGTTATCATAATCACGTACTATTAGCTAAATATGTGAGATTGTATCCAGTGATCCATGTTAAAGTGTTTCTAAAGGCTTATATTTAAAAAAACAAAACAAAAACAAATGTGTCTATACTTACCCGCTCTGTGCAGTGGTGTTGCAGAGCAGCCCTGGATCCTCCTCTTCTCAGGTCCCCTGCTGGAGCTCCTGGCCCCTCCTTCCTGTCGGCTACCCACACAGCAAGCAGCTTGCTATGGGGGCACCCGAGCATGTGCACTTCCCAGCCGCTGCCTGTCCATTCACACATGGAGCTACAGCTCGGCCCCACCTTCTCTCTCTTCTCATTGGCTCACTGGCTGTGATTGACAGCAGTGAGAGCCAATTGCTCCCACTGCTGTCTTAGCCAGTGAGGAAAGGGAGCCCAAGGACAGCGGAGACTCCAGTGCACATCGCTGGATTGAGAGGGGGCTT